GCCAATGTCAGGCAGCCAGTGCCAGGCAGCCAATGCCAGGCAGCCAGTGCCAGGCAGCCATTGCCAGGCAGCCAGTGCCAGGCAGCCAATGTCAGGCAGCCAATGTCAGGCAGCCAGTGCCAGGCAGCCAGTGCCAGGCAGCCAATGTCAGGCAGCCATTGCCAGGCAGCCAGTGCCAGGCAGCCAGTGCCAGGCAGCCAGTGCCAGGCAGCCAGTGCCAGGCAGCCAATGTCAGGCAGCCAATGTCAGCCAGCCAGTGCCAGGCAGCCAATGTCAGGCAGCCAATGCCAGGCAGCCAGTGTCAGGCAGCCAATGCCAGGCAGCCAGTGCCAGGCAGCCAGTGCCAGGCAGCCAATGCCAGGCAGCCAGTGCCAGGCAGCCAATGCCAGGCAGCCAGTGCCAGGCAGCCAGTGCCAGGCAGCCAATGTCAGGCAGCCAGTGCCAGGCAGCCAGTGCCAGGCAGCCAGTGCCAGGCAGCCAATGTCAGGCAGCCAGTACCAGGCAGCCAATGTCAGGCAGCCAATGTCAGGCAGCCAGTGCCAGGCAGCCAATGTCAGGCAGCCAATGTCAGGCAGCCAGTGCCAGGCAGCCAATGTCAGGCAGCCAATGTCAGGCAGCCATTGCCAGGCAGCCAGTGCCAGGCAGCCAGTGCCAGGCAGCCATTGCCAGGCAGCCAGTGCCAGGCAGCCAGTGCCAGGCAGCCAATGTCAGGCAGCCAATGTCAGGCAGCCAGTGCCAGGCAGCCAATGCCAGGCAGCCAATGTCAGGCAGCCAATGTCAGGCAGCCAGTGCCAGGCAGCCAGTGCCAGGCAGCCAATGTCAGGCAGCCAATGTCAGGCAGCCATTGCCAGGCAGCCAGTGCCAGGCAGCCAGTGCCAGGCAGCCTTTGCCAGGCAGCCAGTGCCAGGCAGCCAGTGCCAGGCAGCCAGTGCCAGGCAGCCAGTGCCAGGCAGCTAGTGCCAGGCAGCCAATGCCAGGCAGCCAGTGCCAGGCAGCCAGGGCCAGGCAGCCATTGCCAGGCAGCCAATGCCAGGCAGCCAATGCCAGGCAGCCAGTGCCAGGCAGCCAATGCCAGGCAGCCAGTGCCAGGCAGCCAGTGCCAGGCAGCCAATGCCAGGCAGCCAGTGCCAGGCAGCCATTGCCAGGCAGCCAGTGCCAGGCAGCCAATGTCAGGCAGCCAATGTCAGGCAGCCAGTGCCAGGCAGCCAATGCCAGGCAGCCAGTGCCAGGCAGCCATTGCCAGGCAGCCAGTGCCAGGCAGCCAATGTCAGGCAGCCAATGTCAGGCAGCCAGTGCCAGGCAGCCAGTGCCAGGCAGCCAATGTCAGGCAGCCATTGCCAGGCAGCCAGTGCCAGGCAGCCAGTGCCAGGCAGCCAGTGCCAGGCAGCCAGTGCCAGGCAGCCAATGTCAGGCAGCCAATGTCAGGCAGCCAGTGCCAGGCAGCCAATGTCAGGCAGCCAATGCCAGGCAGCCAGTGTCAGGCAGCCAATGCCAGGCAGCCAGTGCCAGGCAGCCAGTGCCAGGCAGCCAATGCCAGGCAGCCAGTGCCAGGCAGCCAATGCCAGGCAGCCAGTGCCAGGCAGCCAATGCCAGGCAGCCAGTGCCAGGCAGCCATTGCCAGGCAGCCAGTGCCAGGCAGCCAATGTCAGGCAGCCAATGTCAGGCAGCCAGTGCCAGGCAGCCAGTGCCAGGCAGCCAATGTCAGGCAGCCATTGCCAGGCAGCCAATGTCAGGCAGCCAATGTCAGGCAGCCAGTGCCAGGCAGCCAATGTCAGGCAGCCAATGCCAGGCAGCCAGTGTCAGGCAGCCAATGCCAGGCAGCCAGTGCCAGGCAGCCAGTGCCAGGCAGCCAATGCCAGGCAGCCAGTGCCAGGCAGCCAATGTCAGGCAGCCAATGTCAGGCAGCCAGTGCCAGGCAGCCAATGTCAGGCAGCCAATGCCAGGCAGCCAGTGTCAGGCAGCCAATGCCAGGCAGCCAGTGCCAGGCAGCCAGTGCCAGGCAGCCAATGCCAGGCAGCCAGTGCCAGGCAGCCAATGCCAGGCAGCCAGTGCCAGGCAGCCAATGCCAGGCAGCCAGTGTCAGGCAGCCAGTGCCAGGCAGCCAATGCCAGGCAGCCAGTGCCAGGCAGCCAGTGTCAGGCAGCCAGTGCCAGGCAGCCAATGCCAGGCAGCCAGTGCCAGGCAGCCAATGTCAGGCAGCCAGTGCCAGGCAGCCAATGCCAGCCAGCCAGTGCCAGGCAGCCAATGTCAGGCAGCCAGTGCCAGGCAGCCAGTGCCAGGCAGCCAGTGCCAGGGTGTGATAAAGTCACAGATCTTCAGTGATTATTATCCTAACAACGAAAGTATCAGGTCTATACACAAATAATTTCTCCATAATGTTGAAAACTGTGGAAGTAGAGAAAACGGCCTATAATTTGTGAAAAGGTGTCTGTCCCCAGATTTACTATAAAGTAGAATCATTTTGGTAATTTGATCTTTTCTGGAAATTGACCATTTTGACATGTAAATTGGAGGCTGAATAATTTCCTCTATTACCTTCTTAATTACGGCCATATCAATGCCATCACAGTCAGCTGACCTCTTTTTATTACTTTATTGACATTATCTATAGTTTCTCTTTCTCTCACATTGAAGAAGGATGATTAATGTTTCATTCAGAGCTCCAGCAGTTGTAGATCTGGGATTTATTCCTGCCAGTTTGGATCCCACACTTACAAAATTATTAGTTAAAGCTTAGATAAGTATAATTCTAATATTATCTATTAATATGGCTCTGTTAAGGTGATCCTGCGGGGCCAGTGATTTAGGGAAAAAGGCTCAAACTGTACGTGATATTAATGAACCCTTCAGTAGGTTTATGGTTATCTGAGTGAAGTAGATCTATATTAAAGTTCTACAGATGAAGGAGACCTTCTGAGATGTAACTGTGTTTTTCTAAATATCTCCATATTGGAACCAACAGCTCTGGTTATACAACTAACAACCACATTTTCTGACTTTTCCATAAATATTTCAACTGTTAAACACTCAAATGCATCTTTAGTCAGACCGGTCGTGTTTTCTACTATTTTATACTTTTAGGTTATTGCCATCATAAACAGCTAATCCTCCCCTAGTTGTCCTTCTCTAATGATGTAATAGAACTCATAACCCTGCAGCTCAGAATCAGCTCCTTTCTCCTGATTGGTCCAATGTTTCAGAGACGCTATGATGCTGATTGGCTCTTTAAACTGCTTCAGTCTTTGAGGTTGTGGAAGTTTGTATATCAGCTTCTGCTTTTTAACTCTATGATGGGAAACTTATTACCTGCTTAAGCTGTTGAACTGATCAGTTGTAGTAGCAGCCATTATCAACAATGTCATAGAAGAAGTTGTTATCTGAGCCACATTGTCTTCCATGTCCTGACTTTTCTAATCCATGTAGCTGAAGGCTTCCAGGTTATCGGCTCTATCAGGTGCAGGCGTTGTGTCCATCAGTGACGTAGAAACAGGTCCTGTAACCTGTGACATGGTGAGAGTGGTGCTGAAATCACCTGAGCTCCAAACGTTCCTCAGAGTTCAGTCATATTTATCCAGCTCTGTGAGGTCCTGAAGGCTTGTAGTGCTTCAGCTGGGATGCCGTCAGGTTCAGCTGTTTCCTGTTCTTCATCAGGGTGATGGCTGGTTCCTTACAGTTGATTGGTGGATCCACATTGGCTGATTAAGTCACTGGGAAATTCAGTGGTACTGGTCTGTTCAGGAGTTCCTCAAGGTGGCTGACCTTAGCGTGTAGTTGTGCGTGATGCAACATCTTTTGATGGTGGGGACATTTGTGGGCTAAAGCATAAGATGTTCCTAGATGTTTCTATTTGCACACCCTCTCCAATAGGAGGTGTTACATGTCCACCATGTTTTGCAGAACTGTCTCCGTAGTTACAAATGTTCCTAGGTACATGGGAAATCAGGCTGGGCGCCACACAGAAGGGGGCGTGGGGTCTTAAATGAATGACGTGTCAAGGATGTACCCCACTTAGGTGTTGTTGTTTGTGCTTTCTCTCTGCTGTCAGAGCCGACGCTTGTTCACCTTCATTGCGGAACTGAGGACATATTCAATGGCACTGAGTTGAGGTTTCTGCAGGGCTTCCTCCATGTAAATGTGCAAATAAGGAGGTACATGTGTCCCATGTCCATTACACTCATTAAAAGCCAGGGTATCTGACCCAGCGTTGAGAGATGACGCTGGTCGGACTTGTCAATCTGAAAGAAGAAGAACTTCCTTGTTTGCTCATGCTCAGTGCTCAAGGTTCTGGTAAATTGGCTCGTAGCTCTGCTTCAACAGCAGGATTTACCCACCAACACCTCAGACATGTTTGACGTTCTCCCGACTTTACGATTCCTGAAGGGGAGGCGGTCGTTTGACGCTGATCGCCCCTCATTACACCCTGTATTATACACCACGCACCATCAGGCTGAAAGTCGGCCCGACTGAAAAAATTCTTGCACGACTGGGGAATCGGCCTGAAAAGGGCAAAAAAATCATACAGTGTACGCCCAGCTTAATGGGATTGTGGGTGGGATATCCCAGTAGTCAATGGACGAGGTACACCCTGGATGGTCTGCCAACGCAGGTCCAATCAGAGACATGAAAAGACCAGCAACCACTCACACCGACACTCACTCCTAAGGGCCTTTTTGGAGTGTCCAATCAACCTAACATGCAGGTTTTTGGAACAACTCTATCCAGAGAACCTGGAGAAAACACACAAAGACAGGGAGAACATGCAAACTACTTTTCTTCCTTTGGCACCTTCTTCTTCTTTGACTATTTGAGCTGATGTAACAAGTAAATTTCTGCACTGTGAAATCAATAGTCAATCAATCCATCCACACAGAAAGGTTCTGGGTTCGAGTCCTCCGGGACTCGAACCCAGAACCCTCTTGCTTACACCAGGATCTATAACTTAGCATTCCTTTCTGTGCACCTTCAGATAACCCTGTCCTTTCCTTTTCTTCTTCTCTCAGGCCCCTGAGTCCAGGCTGGGATGACAACCTAAAGCTGTTAGTTCCAGTCACACCAGCACCAGTCAGGCGCCCTTCACCTGTCCATGTAGACGCTCTGCTCTAGGGTGCCATGGCCACAGGAACGGAGCGCCGCCATGACCCTGTCCCAGAGAAGGCCAAGCTTTCACCAACTTTGGGGAAACGCAGGAGAGCAGAAGGGAAACCCAAGAAGAACTTTCCTTGTCAGGAGTGTCAAAAGGCGTTCAACAGCCTGGAGAAGTTGAAGGTTCACTCGTACTCCCACACGGGGGAAAGGCCCTACCGCTGCTCCCATCCAGACTGCACCAAGGCCTTCGTGTCCAAGTACAAGCTGCTACGGTACAGCATGCTGATTCTGTTGCACCATTATGAAGTGCTAATATTAATATGATGTCTAATGCTTATGAGATGGTGTCTGTGTTCAAAGGCATACAGCAACTCACTCACCAGAAAAAAGCCACAAGTGTTCGTACTGTGAAAAAATGTTTCACCGCAAGGATCACTTAAAAAATCACCTCCACACCCACGACCCACACAAGGAGGCCTTCTCCTGTCAGGAGTGCGGGAAGAGCTACAACACCAAGCTGGGCTTTAAGCGCCACCTGGCCCTCCATGCCGCCAACAGCGGAGACCTGACCTGCCAGGTGTGCCTGCAGCTGTTCCCTAGCACCGCGGTTCTCCTGGATCACCTCAAAACTCATGCTGGCAAGACGTCCGGAGGGACCAAAGAGAAGAAGCATTGCTGCGAGCACTGCGAGCGCCAGTTTTACACCCGCAAAGACGTGCGACGCCACATGGTGGTGCACACCGGCCGCAAGGACTTCCTGTGCCAGTACTGCGCTCAGCGCTTTGGCAGGAAGGATCACCTGACACGTCACATGAAGAAGAGCCACACCAGAGAGCTGCTGAGGGTCAAAGCGGAACCCACCGACTCGCTGGAGACCCACGTCTTTGATCTGCCTGCAGGAAGCATCAAGGATGAGATTCCAGCACCGCTGACGGCGAGGTCCCACCAAGTGGGTGTGTTCTCGGGCTGTGGCCTGGACACGCAGCCCTTCTCCTCGCCTAATAACCCCTTTTCTTTGAAGTACCCACTGTGCTCTAACTTTACCTCGTACAACATCACCTCACATGAGAGGGAGCAGAATCTAAAGGGAGAACTGGAGACCTACTTGATGGAGCTGCAGAACATGCCATCCTCATCCTCTACCCCCCTGCATCCTCAGATCCCCTCCTCCAAACTGGAGCTTTTACCTCATGTGGGTCTGTTGGAGGAAGCGAGCGAGTCAGGGTCCCTCTCTAAAATGTCCACGCCAGCAGCAGACCCCGCACCAGACTCTGTGGCCTCGGCTTCCTCTCTTTTGGATTTCTCACAGCTCTTCAACTTCCTGCCACAAAACGGGCCCGCATACAGTCAGGTAGGGAGCGGTGGGGCCAGCATGGGGCCTGCCGCTACCTTCCCACCAGCCGAGGAGCCCCTTACTCTAGTCCCACTGGCCCCGCAGACACCTGCAGGTCCAGAGACAGCAGAGATCCCTCTCCAAGGACCCCCGTCCTCCTTCATATGCAGCCTGAACACCACCCCCACCCTACCCCGCTTTCATCAAGCTTTCCAGTGATGCAGTCAGAGCTGCCGATAAACAGGAGACCAGTCTGCCTGACCTATAACCCAGCTGAAGGTGCATGAAGATCAGGGCCCACACACACATCTCTATCTTAGCTGGGCTTTTCCTTTGACTTCCTTTCATTTCTAACCCATTTCTACTGTCTAAGAGTGACCGCAACCCTAACCTAACTCAGCCCTAAACCCTGACCCCAAAATAACTCGGCTCAATTTATTTATATAGAGCAGCAGTTTTTCTTGTGGGAACCCGGCATTTGGCCCCACAAGGAACCCTTGATCCCCAAACGCGCAATTGTTCTAAAAAATGGGGCCATAATATCCATCCATCCATCCATTTTCCATCATGCTTTGTCCCTGCTGGGGTGGCAAGGGATTCTGGTGCCTATCTCTAGCTGTCTTTGGTGCGAGAGGCGTTGTACACCCAGGACAACACCATTCAAACACACTCACATCTAAGGAGAATTTAGAGAAGCCAATTAACCTAACAGTCATGTTTTTTTTACTGTGGGAGGACGCTAATCATTACCAGACCATACCTTACCATTACCAGACCCTATCATTACCAGACCCTACCTAGCAATTACCAGACCCTACCATTACCAGACCCTACCATTACCAGACCCTACCATTACCAGACCCTACCATTAACAGACCCTACCATTAACAGACCCTACCATTAACAGACCCTACCATTACCAGACCCTACCATTACCAGACCCTACCTAGCAAATAACCAGACCCTACCTAGCAATTACCAGACCCTACCTAGCAATTACCAGACCCTACCATTACCAGACCCTACCTAGCAATTACCAGACCCTACCTAGCAATTACCAGACCCTACCATTACCAGACCCTTCCATTGTTAGACCCTACCATTATCAGACCCTACCATTACCAGACTCTACTATTACCAGACTCTACCATTATCAGACCCTACCATTACCAGATCCTTCCATTGTCAGACCCTTCCATTGTCAGATCCTTCCATTGGCAGACCCTACCATTACCAGACCCTACCTAGCCATTACCAGACCCCTAATCATTACCAGACCCTACCATTACAGACCCTACCTAGCCATTATCAGGCCCCTAATCCTTACCAGACCCTACCATTACAGACCCTACCTAGCCATTATCAGGCCCCTAATCCTTACCAGACCCTACCATTACAGACCCTACCTAGCCATTACCAGACCCCTAATCATTACCAGACCCTACCATTACAGACCCTACCTAGCCATTATCAGGCCCCTAATCCTTACCAGACCCTACCATTACAGACCCTACCTAGCCATTATCAGGCCCCTAATCCTTACCAGACCCTACCATTACAGACCCTACCTAGCCATTACCAGACCCCTAATCCTTACCAGACCCTACCATTACAGACCCTACCTAGCCATTATCAGGCCCCTAACCATTACCAGATCCTACATAGCCATTATCAGACCCCTAACCATTATCAGACCCCTAACCATTACCAGAGGCGACCAAACCATAACCTGAACCTAAACTGAATTCACTTCTTCATCCGAAACCTTAACCTTTAGCAAAGAGAGAATTGGGGACCAGCAGAATGTTCTCACTTTGATATTAACGGTCCCCACTCTGATGCCAAAACAGGATCACACACACAGTTTAACTTAAGTCTCTAAACTCTGGCAGATCTTCACAACTTTTCCAGAAACATCAAATGTCTTCAAAGTTAGTTTTTGTTTCATTTAATAACATAAGTTATCAGCTGCTCTGGTCCCAGAAAGGACTTTGATGTGCTAGAGAGCAGCGGCGGCAGCCAGCCGGATGCTGCAGCTTCTGGTTAGATCCATGTACAGGAGGGGGAGGCTTGAGTTCGTTGCTCATCAGGGACTCTGATTTCAGATCAACAACTGAACGCTCACTAAGGATTTGCTGTAGTAGTTCGGATGGTGTTTACTTAGAACTCTACTGCCATCTTTGACTCTAAACTGATCCATCCATCATCCAGACAGCTTTGTCTTTGGAAGGAGAGCCGCTTGCTGGGATCACTTGCTGCATTCGACTCTTCCTGCTATGCTGCCATTAAACGCAGTCCTGTTTGAGTCCAGATCATACCAGACACAGCAGGGTTCAAAGTGCAAGTGGTCATTTAACCTGCAAAACAATAATAAGAAACCATGAAAGCAGGTAGTTGGAGCACAAGGTTTACTCAATCAAGTTTATTAAGATCCCCACCAGGAAAAAAAAACCTGTGGTTAGAACTAGTGAAAGAGTGAGCTTTATTGGATATCCAGATGTTGGCTATTTCATTTTGAAGGTCCAGTAACTCCAAAGTCAAGATCAGATTGAGTCTTCCTGGAACAAACCTTGTCCTTCTTAGGCTATAAGACCTGGAAAAGGCATTTGTTTGTCTTCTTTCTGGTGCCCTGCGGGGGCGCTCCAGTAGTACAGAGTGGTGGCCTTTACTAGGGGCCGTCTTGTCGCTGCACAAGTGGAGTAGGAGTTTGGTCCCCATTGCTGGACCATTTCCGAGTCCGTGTTGGACTCTGGCAGGGCTTCCCTTTCCCTGCTCAGAACCTCCATGGACGAGATAGGCAAGGTCAATGTTCTAGTTTGGGGACCAGCAAATTTCGTCTCTGCTTCTTCCAGAGACAGAAATCTCTGCAGAAAGCACTGCTGACTCACTCCTATCAAACCGACTGCATGCACTGGGGTGGATGGCACCAGAGGGGGGAAGGTCAGCATCTGCTATTCGGAGACCATGGATTTTGACTGGAAAAAGGTGGGTTGCCTAGTTCAGAGCAGTTTTGGTTTCCTGCCTCTAAGTGAAGGACTTTTAGTATCTTGGGTCCTGTTCATTAGTGAGGGGAGATGGACAGACGGATCTGTGCAGATGCCTCTATAATGCTGATGCTGCAATAGACCGGAATAGTAAAGAGAAAGCTGAAAGCAAAGTTTACCAATTTAGTGGTTTGTCTACCCTCCTGCTCTCTTCTATGACCATGAAATTATCGTTATGGCCAAAGTAGGTGATGTTATATACAAGCGGCTGGAATTAGCCTCCTCTGCAGGGAGGCTGGGCTCTCCCTCAGAGAGAGGGTGAGGAGCTCGGTCATCAGGGATAGACTCAGAGTAGAGCTGCTTCTCCTCCAGTTCAGGAGGAGTCAGCTGAGGATCAGACATCCCCTTCAAATGCTGCCTGGACACCACCCATGGAAGGTGTTCCACGCACGTCCCACTGGGCAGAGACCACGGGGACAACCCAGGACACACTGCAGTGACTATGTCTCTCAGTTGGAACACCTCAGGCTTCCCCCAGAGGAGCATGGGAAAGTGTCTAGGAGTCTCTGCTGAGTCACGCATAGACTGTAGTCTACATATGAGGCCACTGGTGCTCAATGGAGGGGTTAGTTGCCTTTTGATTGGAAGGTTGCCGGTTGGCTTCCTATGGCCTCATATGGCCTTCCAATATGCCCCAGGATCCATGCATTACTGCATGCAGGTGCTCATGTTTGTGCAAGCAGCTTTGGGTGGTAAAAAACTCTTAGGCATGTTCGTCTCCTGAACCAAGTGTCCTTTTTAGGGTGGCTCCCCCCTGAGGTTTTTTTATTTGAAACTTCTGCCTTGAAAGAGACAAACTGATGTGTGGAAGTGATGACAGTTTTCCTTGTTGATGTGTGAATATTCCTCCAGACACCAGGGGGAGGTATGCATGGCTTTCTGGTAAAAGAAACCACCAGCTGTAGGGCTCAGATAGACATCATCCTAGACTCTCCCATGATGCGACCATATGGTGCTAATCTGCAGTATTGTTGGGTTGATGTTATCAGTGTGATGCAGAGTCTGTGATTTAGAGTTTTGTCAACATTCATCAGTGTGATGGCGGTGGGGAAGAAGCTGCTGCAGAACCTGCTGGTCCTGCATTGAATGCTGTGAAGCCTCTTCCCAGAGGGCAGCAGGGAGAACAGTCCATGGTGGGGGGGTGAGGGGTCATTGATGATTTCACGGGCTCGGGACATGCAGCGCTGGGATGAAATGTCTTTCATGGAGGGAAGAGGAGCCCCCATGATCCTCTCTGCTGTTCTCACCTTCTTCCAGTCTGAGGCGCTGCAGCCTCCACACCACACAGTGAGACAGCTGCTCAGAACGCTCTCTATGGTGCTTCTGGAGAAGGTGGGGAGGATGGGGGGGGCACTATCAAAATGATTTGCTAACCCTCCAGCAGGGGGAGTAAAGCAGCCCGGAGGTGCGAGTTCTCTGAGCAAGTGGCTGTCCTTCCTGTGTCTCTCTGTTGGGATATGGATGTAGCGTAGCGTCAGATTGGCCTCTGATGACCTCACAGCATCCTCCTCTCTGTGTGTCAGTATTCAAACAGGAAGGTTTCTCCTACTCCTTCTCTAAAAGCTAATGTTGAATGTTTTTGTGTCAAAGCATTTATCAGTGTGCTACCTGTTTCTCATGAAGGTTTTGATGATCATTGCAGCACTTTTTGCCTTAATATTCCAATACTTTGGGTTAAAATGCTTAATACAAATGTATAAATGATATATTTACCTCTGCTAGAGATTAGTTATATGTAAATATGATATAAATGTTTTATTTTTACAGTTTTGACAGTGTTTTTCCTATAAAGGTGTAATTTTGCTTGACTTGCACACAGTCTGTATGCAGTTCTTCATGCATACATGTTAGTTAAAGTGAAGTATTTGGCAGTAAACCAGAGAAGACTTGGATGTGTCTGGTTGTGATGGAGGCCTGAGATGGACGAAACATTCCTGATCTGAGCGTCCTCGTTCATTCAGCAGAAACCGAGCCACAGCACAGCAGCAGCACGGAGACGTTTTACATGAATCCTTCATCACCTTACAGACGGTTGTTGTCTATGCGCCCATTAGAGTGGTCCACTGGCGCCGGACTGGCTCTGATGAGCCACCATGCTGTGGTCTGGATGGGGCACAGCGTCTGACATGATGAGCCTATAGCGGCCCGAGCTTCGGCGTCCCGTGACTCTGAGCAGCTCATGGTAGATTTCACTCAACACCTCCATGCTCAGCAGGTTCTTCCAGCGGTTCACACCGTCTCCAAGGCGTTTGTCTTCATTCAAAGTCCACAAAGCTAAAAGCTGCAGCATGCTACCTGAGCACCGTCCTCCTGGTGAACTTCCAGGACATCCACTCCACAGAAGGAGTCTGTTGTCCCTGTTGACCGTCAACTCCACGGCAGGTGGTTTTGCGTCCCAAAGATGCGGCCGTTATGGAGGCGTTCCTGGACTCCCTCGGAATGGGTGCGGTATTCCAAGTTCTTCCCCCTGCCTTGTGCACCTGGTTCTGTTTCTGCTGAATGAATCCCATCATGTGTTGTTTTCCATTTCTTGGTTTGGACCAGAGGATGGAAGTATGCTCTGACATCCATACCTTCTGAAGTCAAGAAGGAGCTGCTTACTTTCTCTGGCTTTTGTTGTCTCCAAGATTCTGGCTTGTATTTGGGAGTTCAGGCTCCCGTTTTTACAGTAGAACTTGTTTATGTAACAAATCCAAGGACTGATGAGACGCATGGAACATCTGAAGCTCTCTGAAGAACCGTCTTTGTCCGCGGTGGCGTGGACGGCCGGACGTTTTCATAAGCTCCAGCGGTACCAGTGAACTATGTTGAATGTCTGTAAGAAACACTGCAATACTGCAAAAGGTAAAGGAAGAAGCTGCTAAAAGGTGTCTGAAGCTCCCTGAGGTGCTCCGGACCTCTTCCTCCTGGATGTATTTTCTGTACTTTTTGTATACAGCTCAAAGCTGCCGCCATGTGGACCCGCCTCTACCACAGAGCTACGCATCTTAGAGTCCTACTGTGAGTCTAGTTTTTTATCCAGACGTGCCTATATCCCCCATGCCCCCAGCCAGCCTGATGTTCTCCAACACTAAGATGGAAAGGAAAGAGCCGGTGCTGGTCCAGCTCAGAGTCGCCAACGAACCCGGAGCAACTTCTCACCATCTTCCCCTGAACTACTGTCAGGGGAAAGAAACATGGCTATAGGCGGTGAAACCAGGGCTGCAGCTTTTATTAACCGTTTAGTTCTTCATCATTTGAAACTTTGTCATTATCCAAAGAAAGATTATTTATTGGTTGGCAAGATGACCAGACTTCATCACATACATGCTGCTATGAGAGTTTCCTTTGTGAACTCCACTATTTTTACTCATTGTAACAAAAGTTCAATAAAGCAAAGAAAAACTTTGGACTGCTGAGTCTGCTTGGTGTTTCCTCCTCGACCAAAGATTAGGCTCAGGTTCTTTCCCCAAGAATTAAAGGAACAGCACTAGACTGGTTTAAATCTATCTGACCCATTTCAGTTTGTTCACCTCAATCTTCCTCATGCTCAGGGTTACCTGTGGAGCAATGGCGCCACCAGGTGGTGGCCACGGCCATCCTGTGCAATGCCCTGACCACCCCGCTGACCACCCCACTCACCAATGTCAATCATACTAACATCAGTTTAGCATTTCATCCCATTATGCACAGCCAATGATGAAACATTAAAAATCACACGTTACAGTAGCAGCCATTCAAAATGTCCCCACTTTCCTTGGCTGGTCCTGAGCTGGTCCTTGTTTGGTCCTGGGCTGGTCCTTGTTTGGTCCTGGGCCGGTCCTTGTTTGGTCCAGGGCCGGACCTTGTTTGGTCCTGGGCTGGTCCTTGTTTGGTCCTGGGCTGGTCCTTGTTTGGTCCTGGGCTGGACCTTGTTTGGTCCTGGGCTGGTCCTTGTTTGGTCCTGGGCTGGTCCTTGTTTGGTCCTGGGCTGGTCCTTGTTTGGTCCTGGGCTGGTCCTTGTTTGGTCCTGAGCTGGTCCTTGTTTGGTCCTGGGCTGGTCCTTGTTTGGTCCTGGGCTGGTCCTTGTTTGGTCCTGGGCTGGTCCTTGTTTGGTCCTGGGCTGGTCCTTGTTTGGTCCTGGGCTGGTCCTTGTTTGGTCCTGGGCTGGTCCTTGTTTGGTCCTGGGCTGGTCCTTGTTTGGTCCTGGGCTGGTCCTTGTTTGGTCCTGGGCTGGTCCTTGTTTGGTCCTGGGCTGGTCCTTGTTTGGTCCTGGGCTGGTCCTTGTTTGGTCCTGGGCTGGTCCTTGTTTGGTCCTGGGCTGGTCCTTGTTTGGTCCTGGGCTGGTCCCCTATAATTCCTTTATAAACATCAATATTTCTTCTAAAATATTCTTTCTGTCATGATTTGTGGACATTAAGATCTAAGAGCAGCGTCATCTCCTGGTCAGACCCTGTAATTCAGTGGAAGGGTGGAGTCAGAGTAAAAAATTATGCAACAGGAGGGCACTGCATCGGCTGGAAGCTGGAGGAGAGTTTGCTGCCATGCAGCTGGTGCCATTTTGAATGGCTGCTACTGTAAACTAAGATATTATTAGGAGTTCACTTCAGTCAGCTTTACCACAATAGTAGATTCAAACCCTGAAATTATGGCTTTAATTTTCAGTGGCCCCATCTGTGCCCCACCCCCCTGTAAAAACATTTCTGGAGGTGCAAATGGGTTAGAGGAGTGCTCTGAGAAGGTTCAATTCCCACAGACTGCCTCTCTGGGTCCCTGAGCAACACCCTTAAAGGAATAGTACACCTAAAACATGGTTAGCCTTCATTTTCTACTCACCCCCATGCTGAACAACACTCTGGAGTACTTTTTTGATATCTCAAATGCATCTGGAGATCTGGGAGGCTTCTTGCTGTCTGCTGACATTCAAATAATGGAGGTCTATGGTGACCGAGACAGAAAGGTCCATAAAAGTCCACAAAAAACGTGTCAATATTCCTCCATACTGCTCGTCCAATGTATTCCAAGTGTCCTGAGTGGGTAGAGTCGAGAATTTACTCGAAACGAAGTCATTTAGAATGTTTTTAGAGCATAAACAGTAGTGTATAGGATTTCCTGAAAGCGCGCACTTGCGCGCTCACGACGCTACGGAAGCCGGCAGACCAAACCGGAAGAAAGTGCGCATTCAGCGTCTGCTCTGCCAATAATGCAAGCGTAGAAGAAGAAATGTGCTGTTTACCTGTGCAAAGAAAGAAACAACGAAAGAAAAATGTCTGAGGACTTCAGTGTTGAGGAAGAGCATGAGTTCTTTGCCGAGCTGAATGCGCTGGTTTGGTCTGCCGGCTTCCGTAGAATCGTGAGCGCGCTGGCGCGCGCTTTTAGGAAATCCTATACACTACTGTTTATGCTCTAAAAACATTCTAAATGACTTCGTTTCGAGTAAATTCTGGATGCTACCCACTCAGGACACTTGGAATACATTGGACGAGCAGTATGGAGGAATATTGACACGTTTTTTGTGGACTTTTATGGACCTTTCTGCCTCGGGCGCCATAGACCTCCATTATTTGAATGTCAGCAGACAGCAAGAAGCTTCCCAGATCTCCAGATGCATTTGAGATATCAAAAAAGTACTCCAGAGTGTTGTTCAGCATGGGGGTGAGTAGAAAATGAAGGCTAATCATGTTTTGGGTGTACTATTCCTTTAACCCCACCCTGCTCCCCGAGTGCCGCACCATGGCAGCCCACTGCTCCCCAAGGGGAGGGGTGGAATGCAGAGCTACATTTCTCCAGTGTGACATCAATAAATTTCTATTATAATTGTTATCCATGATCCTCCATCTGATCCCTGAGGTTGTCTCCATGCGCTTACAGTGAGCGAACCCCAGGGGGCGCCACCAGCACAATGCCTGCATCACAGCCCAGCAGTAAAACCTTTAGTTTTATTTTCCAACTTCATTGATCATTATTTAACATTTTCAACTCTCCACTTGGCATTGTTACCAAAAATGAGAAGATTACAGGAGATTAACTCCACTTGTTCAAAGCAAAGGACAATAAACATTTAAAGAATATAAAACTGATCTAAAGTCTAAACACATTAAAAACATGAGCAGGTTTTAAGATCAGTTTCCAGAG